ACCCCACATTTTTCAGGACCGAGAGGGTCCTCGCAGCTTGAAAAGAGTTGTGGGGATGGAAAACAACCATTTATGACCAGAGACTCTCATCCTCCAATGAGATATGTCTGTTAGACCCCCAGGGTTCTGCACTTTCTTGCATCCAGTTCTCATACTAGACAGCTAGTACCATGGATGCTATAATTTTGACCACTGGCTTTTCTTGAAAATTTGAACAAGGGATGTTTTCAAATACTCAGAATCGTGGAAGATAGCCCAGAGAAGCGCATGATTATTATATCTAGCACAAAGTAATTACTCACTAAAATGTTCTCGAACAAAATTTGCTGAAAAATTCACTTTTTCTTGGTTATGGAAACGATCCCATTTCGCAACAAAATGAGTTCAGAGAACTCTTTTAAATGAGATGGATTGTCTTAGGGTGAATCAAAAGGTTCCCTTCTTCTCTTGATTAGTTGTGTCTGTCCCAGGAGTTGACTGACCCTAGCCTACATCCTCCCCCTGTAACTAAGCTGTGCGCCTGGCTCACTAGGACAATTCAGAAAAGACTCCTGCTGACTTGGACTGCCATCAGCAACTGCTTTTACACAAGCCAGCTCCTATACTCCTTGGTTCTTTCTTCCCAAAGAGGAAGCCCCTAAGCCTGGCAGAGGTCAAGTGATTTGCCCAGGACAGTTCTATTATAATAGTGACAGGTAAGGTTATGTTTCAAACCTGGCCCCGGGTCTATGAAATCCTCTACAGACAGAGACCCCGTGGCCAAAAGTGATCAAACACAAGACACCATGTCACGGTCTGTCCCACTCCTTCTCCCCCTTTAATCTGTAGACGTACCGTATCAAGGTCTTCGATTCTAGCTGTCAAATTCCTCCTACAGTTGTTCTGTATTCGGGGCTGTAATTGTCCCTCAAACAACCTGAACCCACAGACTTGCAATTTCGCTATCAAGTCAGCAGCTTCCCCAGTACTCCAGTTAATGCAGCCCGCAGAGGTCCATGGTAGCTGTGATCACTGCCGTTTCTCAGATGCTCCTTCACCCCAGGAGAAACCCTAGAGAGTCTGTGACTGCCATGTAACGACAGCCCTCTGAACATGGTTAGATGGTCAGGAATCATTATCCTGAATGTTCTTATTGTAAAGTGATCCCCTCAAGGCGGGGGCTGCCGGACTTACAGACATGACTTAGGGAAGGTTTCTCTGCTATTTAAAATTTTTGTTTATATTTATTTCTATTAGTTTTTGTCTTTGAGTGTTTTGGCTACATGCATGCATGTGCACCACATTGTGCTTGCCTGGTGTTATTAGCAGTCAGAAGAAGGATCCCCTGGGACTGGAGTTACAGGTGGTTGTGAGCCACCGTGTAGGTGCTGGGAACTGAAGCCTGGTCCACTGCAAGAGCAAAAAGTGTTCTTGAAAGCTGAGCCATCTCTTCAGCCCCAGTCCCTCTACTATTAACGTCTGCTTCTTGCGCTTGAGGACACAGTTCTTATCCTAGCAAATAAATGAAGCTTCTAGAAAAACAATAGTACCAAAGTTCAGATGACTGAGCTATGTTTTATAAGAAAAAAAGAAACTTAAACATAAAGAATTCCTCTGATTTTTCATGTATGAGAAATCTTGAAATGCTGGGGGCAGGAGAGACAACTCTGCAGTTGAGAGCATTCGCTCCTCTTTCAGAGGATGGGACCCTCTGTAACTCCATCTGATGCCCTCTTCTGGCCGCCATGGGCACTGCATGCATGTGGTGCGCAGACATATATGCCGGAAAACCACACAAAATAATAAAACAAAAATTTTAGAAAAAATTATCGATATTCATTTCCAAAGAACTCAAACTGGTCATAAAGCCTGTGAACCAACAGGGCCTTGAACTGCTGGGGAAATTGGCCTTTAAAGGCAAGCTAGGACTTAACCAAGTCATCAGCAAGTGGGGAGGTAAATCCACAATGCCAAGATGGCCCACAAGGACTTCTTCATAGCGGGTAAACCCGGGACTAACAGGGAAGATCGCCTGAGCTGTGTCCGGACTTGTAGGAACAACCTTTAGGGATGACTGTAGGAAGCAGAGGTCTCCAGAACAATGGCCTTTTTTCGTCAAACCAAGAGCTCGGGCTGGTAAGCTTGACCAAGGAAGAAGAAACAGACAATATAACAAACACTGGAAAGGAAGAGGAGCCAGGGAACAGCTCCTGTCTCCATCCTGTGAGTCAGGAAGCTAATCCTGAGCACACAAGAGGTTCCTGGAAGCTGTGAAGACCAGAGTGTACAGGTTCCCAAGTCGGAAGCTTAGAACACTCCTAATCACTCTCCCCAAATAATGAACCCCTTACCTTGGGCTTAACGGAAAGCAAGGAGCTGTGGAGAGGCTGAGGAGCCCTCAGGGTGGTGACAGAGCAATGTCAAAGGCAACTGGAACCACGCAGCCTGAACTGCACCACTCAACAGCAAGCCCGGCCACGCTAGGACATGGGCGCCCATGCTGTGTACCAGACTTCTCCGGGTGCCCTGTGCTCAGATTGCTATTGAGCCTCACTGCAGGCTTACACCGGAAGTAGAGGATGAAGTAGCGGTACTTCAAAGAGATCTGAAGGAGATTATGTGGTAAGGCCAGACATTCCTGTGAATAAAATTGCACAAGACCAGGGCTGCATTGAGGTCCCCATTGCTTCTTTGCGCAAGCATGAACAGTGTCATTTTTGTACATATTAATCATAACCAAGGGAAACTGCCAGTTCTGTAGGTCAAGGAACGGTCACACATTAAACATTTCGTATAGCTAACAATAATATATAAATATATATTCTTTATGGGAAGTAAATCGAAAATAACCAGCAAATACAACAGCGTGAAGCAAGCATGAAATATGAAGTAAGTACTGTGCTAAGCCTGATGAAAACAAAGTAAAAAGGTTCTAGACAGGAGTTATGTCTGAGAGGAATTACCTGTCTGATGGGGACTTAAGGACAAGAGAGGCCCTACAAGACTGTGTCACTGTGAGCTGGACTTAACAGATCAGCACTGTTGGTATCCCACTGTCAACGGATAGAAACACACACACACACACACACACACACACATACACACACTCACACATGTACATGCACACTCATATATATATATACACACAAAAAAAGATACACATATACATATGTACACATATATACACATGTACACACATACACATGTGTATATACACATATTCACACATAGATCCATACACACATATATGTAGACACATATACATACACTTTCACATACACATGTCCCATTTTAACTTACACGTTACACATCATACACATACTGGCACATACAAGTCCAAATACACATAAAACCCCTGATATGTATAAAAATAAATATTGATATAAAGGGAATATAAGAATGATTGAAACTTTAAAATAAAGAATGAAACTTCAAAGAAGATGTAATTCACAATGTGCTTTCTTTAGATTTCTTGGCCTCCACCAACCCTCCCCCCCATCCCGGCACACTGACTGCCAGCCTTGTGTGGTGTCTAACCACACATGGTATCAGGGGGACCTGGCTAGGCTGGACAATGACCAGTGGAAGGCTTGCACTGACAGGTGCCAAGGAAATGGTTTCCATCACTGGAAACTCCCTCCCTTTCTCAGAACCAGCCACATTGAGCAACTCTGACTGCTACTCGGGAACCTTCACAAAAGGTGAAGTTGTCAACTCAGGGCTTGGACAGTCCAATCTGTCACCCTTTCTATTTTGTCCTCCATCCCTTCTGACTGTACAGATGAAAAGCTCGACCCAGAGGTAACAGGGAGGCAGCGACAGATGTGCACAGGGAGCATCCAAGGGCTTGCCAACTGCAGCGTCAGCTTCCTTGCTTGAGTTCCCAAAGAGGCTGTGAGAGGGGTCTTGCATTAGTCCATGCAGCCCAGAGCAAGCTGGGGATCCCCCTCTATGAGCAGAACACCAGGTCTTCTGTATATGTAATTTTAACCTGTGGCTGTAGGTTGGTCACACTTCTTTGTTCTTACATTTGCAGAGCATTTGCACCAGAAAAAAAAAATGTAAGAAATCTTTTCTGGATTAAAAAAATGCAAAACAAGCAAAACCAACCAACCAAACAAACAAACAAAACCCCCCAAAAAACAAAAGGAATGGCGCTAGCACCAGTATTTTGATTTTCTTGCCATCTGTCCCAACCTCTAGGCTACTACAAGTTTAAAAAATTCATATAGAAGGGGCTGCAGAAGGGTCCATTCTGTGTCCTAAGAAATTGGCTCTGATGTCCAATGGGAGAAGAAATTAAATATAAATAATGAAAGGGTGTATGCTAAGCAGTTGCTTCCCCTGGGGATAGAACCACTCACGTGGTACATTTTGGTATGCTGTGGACTGTTTGATATGCCACTGGCATGGGTGAGGAAAAGCCGGAAGTGGCAGACATGATGCATTGCCCTGCATGGTTTCAAATAGCTTAGAATTGAACAGAACTTTTAATAATACTCTATTTACACATACTCCAAGTGCTAATGGTGTTTGAATAGCAATATAACGTTAGTGCCGGTCTGTGCTGGCGGCTATGAACAATGCAGGGCCGCTGTGCAGAGGTGCAAGACTTGACTGCTTGCAGGCATACTAGATGCGAAATGTTTTCTGGCAATTGCATCACCATACATATTATTATTATTATGTTTTAAATGACTTTCCTCATGTATTGAATTCAAGGTGCAATATTGGTTTTGGTGAAACTATACGGGCTGGCAAGTAATATCATCTGTAACTTTGTAGGTATGAAATGAGACATCATAAAATATATGTTGTTTCTTTTCTTTTAAGAAAAATCAGCATGATTTTTAGTGGTGCTAAAGACAACTGGTTTGGATGATAAATACTGAGAACCCAGGCAAAGGCCTGAGAAAGTGGGGAAGAAAGTTGTTTTGATTGAAGACTTAAATGAATTTGGAAGGAAGCTGGAGTCTGTGGATTACAATAATTAAACTCCCTTTCACCTTCCCTCTCCGCAGGATAATTGAAGCCATAGTTGCCACCTCACCTTGCTGGCCTCCCCAGTGCTTCATCATCTTGATCGCCATCCTAGAAGCACACGTTCCTGGCTCTTCAAATGATGCTTGGCTAAACATGTTGAGTAAAGAGCCAAGTTTCCCGAGTTCCACACAAATCCAGCACACACTAACCCACAAGCCTGACTTGTGTGTAGACAAGGCATGCTCTTACTGTTCACAGTGTCACTGGCTTGTCCGTGTTCCTGCATCTTCAGCACCTTACGAGGACTCGCCACTGCCGGCATCCCCATTTCCTTTGCTGGGTCTTTGGCCGTGAAAGCCCATTATGAAAGAAGTTGGAAATGAAGACTTTATGCATCTTACTAGCTCCCAAATAGCCCTTAATTGTGACTCATAGGAGTTGGGGCCTGAGTGGCCCTGCTCCCTCATCTACCACGTGGCACGATTCTGAAGTCTGTGTCTACCCCCTAGAGTAATAATGTTAATCTCTAGTCACCCACAGTAATTGCAAATTCAATAACCTATGTAGACTGACTTCCAATCTTTCTTCCTCTCCCATCTGCTGGTGTTTCTCTTCCTCCAAGAGTAACTACTTTGTTATGCTTTTCTCATCTTGAAACCAGGGGCAGGCCACCACGGTGGGAAGGCCTTCTCACTGAAGAGAATGTGGTTAAAGAACAGGTCCAGGACACAGAGCTGGGCTCTGACTCGATGCTGTCCCAGCTCTGTCTGAGTTTAGGCAGGCCATTTCTCTCTGGGTTTTGTTTTCTCACAATCTAACACAAAGGATTTGGCCCAGACTGACATTTTTCAAATATATTCAATTACTGGGATGCTAACAGCTATCACATAGTAAAGAAGACAGACAGCTGCTGGTCTGTACACGGGACAGTCTGGGCCTCTCTGGCGATCTAAAGGACAGGTAGGAGTGCCCGGCTCGGCGCCTGACTCCGCAGGGCAGTGGTCCAGCTTTGGCTGAAGTTTTTCCTCCATATTTCCTCGTCTGGAAAAACACACTAAAGTCTCGGATTCAAATGCTTGCCCAGCGACAGGATTTCTCACGGGATTTGGTGTCTGTTGGGAATAGTGGGTGCTCCCTTTGCCTGTGCACCTGCAACCCTTTACACAGTCTTTCCCTAGTGAGATCTCAGCAAGTACCTCCCAGCCTGCTGTGTTCTGCTGCTCTCAAACACACACACCAGAAGCAGCAGCAGCTTTGAGAGATCAAGAGTCTACCTCAAGGGAGCAGGAACCCTGAAAGGTGTTTCTACCGGTCTCCAGTTGTTGTTGACAACTGTTGCGACCACATTTTTGCCAGGAGTTGACGGTCAGAAGCATGGGACAGTAAGAAACAAAGGGAGGGGGTGGGGAGAGAGAGAAAGAAAGCACACATGCAAGCAAGCAAGCAAGCAAGCAAACTGGCAGAAATGATTTTAGAAGGTGCCCGTTGTTTCAATTATTTAAACTTGCTCGGATTTGTCTATATAAAGAGGAGGCGTAATTTTCTTGCTTTTGAAAAAATAACTCCTGCCTTGCTAGAAACAAGAGCATTATCACGGGTAACAGAGAACACACTGTCAAAATAATTGCTGTGGGAGATTGGATCTGATTCTAGCAAACTCCCATCGGCTTCTCACAGGCAGGGAATGGCCTTTTGGTAGATCACACTCTCAGTATCACAAGTAAAGTGCTCTCTCTACTGTATCAGTTAACATGTCTGGATCAATGGACCTTCAGTTTTTATGAGTATTGGGACCCCTCTTAGGACTTAGTTTAGCGAGGGCCTTCAGTGTTAGGAGTGTTTTTCCTACCCACGGAAGGGAGAGAACACAGCATCATAGCTTTTCATTGCTGCCTAACAAACCGCTCGGTGACTTAAAGGAACACGGGAATGTGGGGCTCATCACTCAGGGCTGGGCAGGTGTTTTCAGCAACAGAGCATCTCTGTAGGCACCATGGAGCCGATCTGCTTGAAGACTGCAATCCAGAGGCCTCTGACACTCCTGTGTCCAGAGGTTGTTGCTGGCTGTGCTATGCCCACATGTGGCTCCTCCAATGCCATTCTTTGGCTGGCCCGTGGCATGGAGTTCGGTGCTTATAGGAAGACTCTCAAGAGCACAGGTGTCAGCTGCATTACCTTTCATTTTCGTGGGACTCAGGTCACTCAGGTCATATTTTACTTTCACCCCCGTGACAAGCCTGTCTAGGTGTACAGGTGAAAATCAGCATTGCATTAGGGCGGTTGTAAACAAAAGAATGTGTTGGTGAGGAGAGATAGGGATTCGCACAAACTGTTGGGGAGACTACAAAGCAGTTACAGCTGTTGTGAAAAGCAGTCCAGAGATCCCTCAGAAAACTAAAGGTCGATCCAGTTATCGCCCATTGTGGGCAGATATCCAAAGTTTCTTTTGGACCATCAGTGAACATGCCCATACCGATTGTGGTACTATTCACAACAACCAAGCTACAGAATAGGCCTCAGTTCTCACCAACGGTGAATAGAGAGTGTGCGGTATATATACATAGTAGAATAGTGTTTAGCCGTGAAGAATGAAATTCTGTCTACTGCAGTAAAATGGATGGAGCCAGAGGAAATTGTGTTAAGTAAAATAAGCCAACCACTCAAGCATGAGTGAATACTTTATGTTCTTTATCAAACACGGGCATTAAAAAATGAGCAATTGTTAGACAGCAAAGAAACAAAAGCTTTTTATTGTTTTTATTGAGCTGTATATTTTTCTCTACTCCCGTCCCTTCCTTCTCTCTCCCTTCTTAACCTTTCTCATGATCCCCATGCTCACAATTTACTCAGGAGTTCTTGTCCTTTTCTACTTCCCATGTAGATTAGATCCATGTATGTCTCTCTTAGGGTATTCTTTGTTATCTAGGATCTCTGAGATTGTGGACTGTAGACTGCTTTTTCTTTGCTTTATGTCTAAAAGTCACTTATGAATGAGTACATATGATATTTGTGTTTCTGGGTCTGGGTTACCTCACTCAATATGAGGTTTCTAGATCCATCCATTTGCCCACAAATTTCAAAATGTCAATTTTTTCCCACTCTGCAGTAGTCCATTGTGTAAATGTACCACACTTACTTTATCCATTATTTGGCTGAGGGGCATTTAAGCTGCTTTCAGATTCTGGCTATTGCAAATAATGCTCCTGTGAAAATAATTGAGCACAGGTCCTTGTGGTATGATTGAGTATCCTTTGGGTACATACCCAAAAGGGGTATTGCTGGGTCTTGAGGAAGGTTGTTTCCTAATTTTCTGAGAAATCACCCTACTGATTTCCAAAGCAGCTGTACCAGTTTTTACTCTCACCAGCAATTCAGGAGTGTTCCCTTCACTCTACATTCTCTCCAGCATAAGCAATAATCAGTGTTTTTGTTCTTGGCTCTTCTGATGGGTGTAAGATGAAATCTCAGAGTTGTTTTGATTTACGTTTCTCTGATGGCTAAGGATGCTGAGCATTTACTTATGTGTCTTTCAGCCATTTTAGATTCATCCATTGAGAGTTCTCTGTTTAGGTCTTACCCCATTTTTTTTTTTTTGGATTATTTGTTCCTTTGATGACCAATTTCTTGAGTTCTTTCTATATTTTAGAGATCAGACCTCTGTCTGATATGGGGTTAGTGAAGACCTTTTCCCATTCTGTAGGCTGCAGTTTTATCTTGTTGACTGTGTCCTTTGCTTTACAGAAGCTCTTCAGTCTTAGGAGGTCCCATTTATTAACTGTTTCTCTCAGTGTCTGTGCTACTGGGGTTATATTCAGGAAGTAGTCTCCTGTGCCCATGCATTCAAGAAGCAAAAACTTTAACTTCAATGTAGAATGGTAATTTCTAGGGCCTGAAAAGGGAAGAGAAAAGTGAATACAGGTGATCCAGACAGTGTATGTTACACATTTGTTTTAAATGACATGCTGGTCTCCTTAATATGTCTACTCGTACATGTTAATCAGAGATAAGATGAGGTGCAAAATGGCACTGAAATGGCAGCCGGTGATCATTATATGTGCAGCGGTGTAAGTTTAACCCTAAAGCACCCTGCAAATGTAGGGCTGAGGAATGGCTTTGAGTCAAATGGGAAAGGACACAACGATTACAAATACCTAGCTGACCAAAAATGTGAAAAAAGCTGGGGATGTAAATCAGACCGCCCCCCAAGTTAGGAAATAAACACAAAATCAGTGTTGTTAAGCTCAACATAACTGCATTCAATACAAATTGACGAAGAATCGAAACAGCAAAGAACTTGCTAAATTTGAATAAGAAGGAAGACTCAGCTAAGGCTGTTTATGAGAGAAACACACTAAATGACGATGTAGAAATAAAGTATAGGGTAGAAACAGAAACAATGATCAGAAAACAAATAATGCAGCAAAGCATCTCCAGAGGTGAGTGCCGACAGTGAGGCCGGGTAGGTGTGCTTTTGAAAACAGAACTCACAGTCAAACGAAAAGCTTGCAACTACAGTTGCAGATTTAGGACACACAGAGAGAGAGTGAGCAGGTCAGTAAAATTAGGCATGAAAGAGGCATTACTGTAGATTCCAGTAACATCCAGGGAATAATTAGAGGATCCTTTGAAAATATTTGTATTCTCCCAAATTGGGAAGACTAGAAGATATGAATAAATTCCTGGATGCACATGACCTAGGAAAACAAAATCAGGTGAATATAAACAAAAACAAACAACAAGGTTAAAATGGTAGTAGAGAGCCTCCTAAGACAACAAACCAGGACTAGATGGAGTCACTGCCAAATCTGCCACACCTTTAAAGAAGAGCAGGCACCCACGCTCCTTCCTCTGTCCCCTAAAACAGAAAGGGAACTGACACTGCCAAACATAGCCAGTAAAACTAGTATAACTGCAGTAACAAAATTGGGCAAACACACATCAAGAAATAATAAACCGTCCTACCCCATTCCCACTTTCAGCCAGGAACCCCTTCCCTTCCTCTCTCCCTTTTTCGGGGCATAAAATCCTCCAACTCAGCCTCTGTGGGCGCCGCCTGGAAGGGGCGGTGAGTGCAAATGGGCAGGAGTGAGGTTCTTTGTTTTAATAGCCTGTCTGCAGCAAGGTAAGACTACAGGCAGGGAGATTTCTGACCAGCAAGTGGCACTGATCCTGTAGCAGAAGATACAGTAGAGGGGTAAGTGTGCTCCTGACTCACCACACAAGCCCAGTAAGGGAACACACAATTTTCCTGCCATCCTTATTTCCCTGGGTATTCCTAAGGGGCGGCTTCCCCCAGCTAAACCCTCTCTCCTCCTAACCCATCCCTGCTTTCAGCCAGGAACCCCTTCCCTTCCTCTCTCCCTTTTTCAGGGCATAAAATCCTCCAACTCAGCCTGTGTGGGCACCGCTGGGAAAGAGCAGTGAGTGCAAACGGGAGGGAGTACCTTTGTTTTAATAGCCTGCCTGGAGCAAGGTAGGACTGCAGGCAAAGTGATTCCTGGCTGGCAAGGGGCACTAATCCTGTAGCAGAAGACCCAGTGGAGGGAAGACCCATTGGAGAGCTTGGGCAGGCACCAAGACAAGAATTCCTCCAGCAATCTGAAAAACAACATGAAAACACCAGATTCCAGCGATCTTACAACAGAAGGACTTGAACACCCTATTCCGGAAGAAGTGGAAAACAGTGTCATTATGAAAGCAATAGAGTCTCTTAAACAGGGTATGAATAACTCACTTAAAGAAATAGAAGAGAAATATAACAAAAAGATTGAAAAAATGAGTAAAGAAATGGAAGAGAAATATAACAAAAAATTTGAATAAATGAGTAAATTCATAAACGATACTCTGGGAAACCAAGAAAAAAACAATCAAACAGGTAATGGATTCAGTTCAAGAATTGAAAACTGAAATGGAGGCAATGAAGAAAACACAAACCGAGGGCCGGCTGGATATAGAAAATCTAGGTAAACAAACACAGACTTCAGAAACAAGCATAAACAATAGAATACAAGAGATAGAAGAAAGAATCTCAGATTATGAAGACACCATAGAGAAAATAAACGCTCTGACCAAAGAAAACAGCAAATCCAACAAATTCTCATCACAAAACATTCAGGAGATCTGGGACATAATAAAAAAACCAAATCTAAGAATAATAGGGGTAGAGGAAGGAGAAGAATTGCAGATCAAAGGTCCAGAAAATATATTCAACAAAATTATAGAAGAAAACTTTCCCAACCTAAAGAACAATATTCCTATGAAGGTTCAAGAAGCATACAGAACACTGAATAGACTGGATCAGAAAAAAACATCCTCTCGCCATATAATAATCAAAACACAAAGCATTCAGATTAAAGAAAGGATATTAAGAGCTGCAAAGGAAAAAGGTCAAGTAACTTATAAAGGTAAACCTATCAGACTTACACCAGACTTCTCTATGGAAACCATGAAAGCCAGAAGGTCCTGGATAGAGGTACTGCAGAAACTAAGAGACCATGGATGCAAGCCCAGACTACTATATCCAGCCAAGCTGTTGTTCACTATC